TTGGCTTCTCCCTAAGCTGCCTTCCATGCCTTTATAGTGCTTCCCTTTGAAATGCAGTGTGGGTGCAGTGGATGTCCTGGCCTTGGCCATCTATATTGAATGCTTAAGCCAAGTATGTTGTGGCTGTTGTCTGAGAACCACTACTGAGGCTTTGCAGCAAATCCCACATGTTACTCAGGACGTTGCATGTTGTTTAACCAGCTGAGCTATGAAAGCTGTCACTGAGAGCAGCTGAAACTGAATCTGTGCTTCCCAACCTCATGGGCAGAATGTCACTTCCCTGGGGGAGCTGCCAAAGCTGACCATCCCCCTGCCCCTCTGCTGTCTTTGTCTTCTGTCTGTCTACTGCAGTCAGTTCCTGTCTGAGGGGATGATAACATGAAAGGAAGTTGTATTTGGTCTGGTTCAAGCATGAATGATAACAGGTAGATTGTGCTGCACACTGGGGAAGCAGCCTGACAGCCAGCATTGCCCTAGTAACTGCTTCACTGTCCTTTTCCTATCCCACAGGCCCCGTCAGGACCTGATGAGGCTGGGAAGGTAAGTGATGTCAGGGGCAGTGTTACGGGCTGGGGTTGTGTGTCTCATCACACATCAGCCTTTCTTGTGGTCCTTTCCTTTCAAAGGAGAAGACCTAAGGGCCGAGGTAAGAGAAGACAAGAGAGGACGAGACGTAAAGGCTGTGAACTGTAAGTGAGCATGGGCAGGTATGGGTGGTGTCTTGTGGGTTTGTTTCTTTGGGATGAACAGCTTCATTAAGCCTTTAGGTCTTTACTGACACTGTAAGCAGTGAGGAGTTTGTGAAGAGCAGGCAGAGGAGAAAGCAGTACAGCAGGGACAATGAGTGGCTGCAGGGAAATGGGCCTCTTACTGAAGGCTCAGTAGTTTCCAGGCTCAGCTGCTCAAAGTTGGCCAGTCCCATCCAGGGTGTGGATGGATGGATGGATGGAGTTACTTGCTGGTATGTAGCTCTATCACTATCACAGACCACATTGGATTTCCTGGATCCCTAAATTTCCAGTTTTAACCTCATCCTGCTGTCAGCTGTGTCCTTCCTGCTGTCCTTGGCTGGTCATTGTTTGGGTTACTCTGCCCTTTCCCTCCTTACATTTAGCTGACTCTTCAAACCGCTTGCTGTAACAAAGCAGGCTGGACTCTCACTGCATACATTTTTGGGGTGTGGTGCCTATGGCTGACACTTCTACGTTGTATTTCCCTGTTGTTTTTTTTTCTGAAGCCTGCTGCTCAGGTCTCAGCCAGCACCTACAGACCCATTCCCCTTGCTCTTCCCTGTTAAGGGGCTGTCTGTGGTCCCTGCTGCTTTGGTTTGGTGCAGGAGGTGCTCAGCACAGAGAAGGGGGAACCTGGGGCACAGCGGGTGAGCCCAGAGGTCCTGGTGTTCCTCAGTCCCAGCAGTGCTCACCTGTGCCATGCTCTCTTTACAGATGTGGCACACCACGCAGGTAGCCTCCGCTCTGCCCCTGGCCTTGCCCCTGTTGCTTGGGTTTGAGCCAGCAGTGTCTTCCCCTGGTGTGAGGAACTTGTGGAGCTGTGTCCTGCCATGCAGCAGTGGGGAGCAGGACTCCAGCAGGGAAAAGCTAACTGGACTCTTGCCTGGCCGTGGCTGGAATGCAGCCTACAACTGAGGACCCGCTCACCCCATCTGCACCATCAGCAGCAGGACAAAAGGACCTGTGACCAGGCCTGGGGCTGAAGATGAGGAGCTCAAGCAGCATCTTGGTGTTTGAGGGCATCCTGCGGGCAATGAGGAGTGGAGCTGGTGGATGTGCTGCTGGAGCTGGCTGGGGACAGCATCATGGGGATGGGTGGAGGAGGCTTGGAGGGCTGCAGCTGCAGAACTGCTCTGTCCTGACAGTGCCCTGCAGCTGGGGAGGAAGGAAACCCGGGGCAGTCAAGACTGCAGGGCTGTATCCGTCTGAGCCTTGGCATGGGGCAGCCCAGGAGGGTGCCTGGAAAGCCCTCTTGGAGGGGAAGGAATGGGAATTGGGCTTGCCAGGGCTCCTCACATACTTGCAGCCACATCCTAGCCTTGCCCTGCTCAATAAAACCTGGTGGGGGGATGCAGGCGCTGGAATTGTGAGCACTCCTGACTGCTTCTCAGCAACTGCCTGCAGGCAGGGCTCTTCCCGTGGGCTCTGTCCCAGGCTGGAGGAGGGCAGTCCTGCCATGGCCCAGGGCTTGTCCCCAGCAGCAACTCCTGCAGCATCCAAGAGGCTGCCCTCGTTGGAGATGGGCAATCAGTGGGTCAGGACCAGGCTGCTTCCCAGGCTGGGGGATACCCATGTGCTGGAGCTCAGGTGGGTACTGGGAGACCCTTGGGGGAAATACCCTTCACCACACTGTAACATGGAGATAGTACCTCTTATTCATCATACCTCACTTGCTGTCCTGTGGCTTTCCTTCTCCCTTGTTGGGCTGATGGAAGGTTAGGGTAGGGGGTGCAGGCTGCTGTGGGCCTTCCCACCCAAGAAACATCCCACCAGGTCTCATTCACTTGGCCTGGGGGAAAGGATCATTCTGGGGTGTGGAGAGGGCTGGTGGCCCGCACCGAGGTGGCTGTGGCTGCTGCCATTTACTGCTTTCCCCACTCTGCCTGGGTCTGGCCAGCCCCTGTTTCCGTGTGCCTCTAGCAGTGCTCCTGGGGATCCTCTTATCCCCTTTCCTGTTCCTACAGGGAACTGGTGCTGGCTGCCAAATGCATCCTGTGCTGCTCCTTGCAAGTTGCACCTGGGCAGTGCCCATAGCTGGAAACCCTAAGGGCAAGCTGGACATCAGCATGCTTGTGAAGCACCCCTAGCATGGGGTTAAAACAAAATCGAGGGTTATTATTGAAAGCTTCAAGCAGAGGGCAGGAGGGCAAGATGTGCAAAGACTTCAGCATTACCATCAAACAAGGTGACCCATAGTCTATCCTGCGCTGAGGAACAAGGGAGCCTGATGCAGCAGGTGTTAGGATCCAAGGCAGCTCTTCCCCGCTTCTGACACAGCAGCCTGTAGTCAGGGCAGTCTCCCTCAGAGCTGTAATGCTGGTGCTGCTTGTGGCTGGCACAGGGCACAGGGATGTGGGGTCTGGGGCAGTGATACCCTGGGAGGAAAAGGGTGAGTGTTGGGGTGATGTGAACCTCTGTGCTGCCAGCATGCATAGACTGGATAAGTTGTGCCCGTGCAGCTGGGCGTATCTTCCAGGAAGCTTCTCCTTGGCTGCTTCATGGATGAGGGGAACTTGCTGTTCCCCTTCCTATGCCACTCAGGGGCCATGTGGGCCATGTGGCATCCAACTGCAATGGCCAGTCCTGGTCTGTGCAGGCTCTCCCCACACTCACATGCTGTTTCAGCCTGGCTGGTTGCACTTTGAGGCTAAGGAGAAGTGTGCAGCACTTGGGGGATTTACATGATGGTTTCTGCATTGGTTTTAACAGTAAAAGTTTTACCACAGTAGTATTAAACCTTTAAAAAAGAAGTTACATAAACCCGAGGATGTTAATTAATAAAAGTAAGCTTGTCAAGAGTAGTGATTAAGGTTAAAAAATAATTCAAATGAACTCCTGCCCAACAGCTTCTGGTATTTGGCATCACTTCTTTGGCTGCTGCTTGGCAGTGAGCGTTTTCAGGCATGGAGTGTTGGGGTGCACACTAAGGACCTGGATGCCTGGGAGGGATGTGGCTGTCCTGCTGCAGCAGTGATGAAAGAATCAGCTCTGGCAGGGCAGGAGCAGGAGAAGTTACTGCCAGCATGGGAGGTTTGGGAGCTGCATCTCCAGGTGTTGGGGCTCCCTCCAGCTCCAGGGGGTGTTTCAATGTGGCTTCACTGGCAAGTGAAGGCCCCTGTGTGTCCCTGATGGAGGGGAGAGGGCTGGCACCCTCCTAGTCCCAGGGACTTCCAGTCAGGCATTGCAGGCATTGTTGACATGAGGGTCAGGTTGAGGCCCTGCTGCTCTGAGGAGAATGGGGCTCCTGGCCCTTGAGTCTTGTGGCCAGCACCCATTCACCCACCTGAGCGGACCAGCAACTGTCTGCCTGTCCTTGCTCTGTGCTGCTAGAGCGGGGGATAATTACACCCTTTGACCTGCTGGCCACGCTTCTTTTGATGCAACACAGCGTACAGTTGGCTTTCTGGGCTGTGAGTGCACATTGCCAGGTCATGTTGAGTTTCTCATCAGCAATACCCCCAAGTCCTTCTCCTCAGGGCTGCTCTCAATCCATTCTCAGTTCCAGGTGCACGACCTTGTACTTGGCCTTGTTGGACTTCATGAGGCTCACATGGTCCTACCAGCCTGTCAATGCCCTTCTCTTTGGCATCCCTTCTCTCCCCAGCATGTCAACCACACCACACAGCTCGATGTCATTGGTAAACCTGTTGATGGTGCACTCAGTCCCACTGTCTGTGTTACCGACAAGCAGCGCTGGTTCCAATACCGACCTTTGAGGAAAACTACCCGTCACGGATCGCTTAGGCATTAGTGCATTTGTGCTAGCTCTCCCCCCTCCATAGATCTGAAATAAGTACGTAAAACTGAATGGGCCTGCGGGAGTTGGTACAATGGACAGCCAAGAGCCCAGGGCTTTGGAACAATGACACCCACCTGCAGGATGCAGGTCAAAAAGAATCACCCGTGGCCTGCGATGGGAAATGATGGGTGGGTCAGCAGGGAGCTGCTGAAACAGGCACACCAGGTAAAGGCAAAGCCTATTTAAAGCGCAACTAATTACGTGTTATGGGAGGAAGGAAATACGGTGGCAAAGGCAGTGCTGAATGAACAACGGGAGCTTTGTTAATTAAGGACAATTAACGGTGAATAACGACGGCAGTGGAGCAAGCGGAGCGGCGGCGCTCACCGCACCTCAACCCAACGGTGAGGGCCCGGCCTCGGGGCGGTACAGCAGCGGGACCCGGTCCGGTCCGGGACCGCAGGTGCCGCGCCGGGGAGGGTGGGGGGTGATGACTTCATCCGCAGCGAATCAGCGCCGTTCCGGGGCCGCGGCCCCGCCCCTCCCTCCCTCCCCGCCCGCCGGAGGATGCTGCCGGTCCCTGTCTCCGGTGCGGGACCATGAGCCGGGCGGAGGCCGAGCCCTGCTCCCGGGCGCTGGCGCAGGCCCGCGTCTACCTGGGCCAGCTGCGGAGCCGCGTCTCGCCGGCGGGCCCGGAGGGCGGCGGGCGCCGGGATTACCTGGTGGAGGCGGCGCGGCAGCTGCGGCTGGCGCTGGAGCGCGACGTCAGCGAGGACTACGAGGAGGCCTTCAACCACTACCAGAACGGCGTGGACGTGCTGCTCCGCGGGGTGCAGGGTGCGTGAGGCCTCCCCGGAGGGGAACTGGGGCATCCATCCGGGGAGAGCAACCAGGGACCGGGGCATCCCTCCAGGGATTGCGGCCATGGGGGCCAGTGATCCCTACTGGGAGAAGGCTGGGGGGAACCACGGCATTTCTCCGGGGAATGTGTCAATGGGACCAGGGCATCCCTCCTGGAAGCATAGCAATGGGACAGGGCGTCCTTCTGGGGAGCGTGACCACCGGGGCATCCCTCTGGGGAGCGTGGCCAGGGGACCAGGGCACACCGCTGGGGAGCATGCAGCCTCTCATGCCCGCCCTCTGCACTGCCCGCAGTTGACCCCAACAAGGAGCGCCGGGAGGCCGTGAAGCGGAAGATCACACAGTACCTGAGGCGTGCAGAGGAAATCTTCAACTGCCACCTCCAGCGGGCTGCAGAGGGCAGCAACCCCGCCGCCACGGTGAGGGGCTGGCTTGGGGTGGAGTTGGGTGGGATGGCAGCGGATCTGTGGCACTGGGACACCTGGGACACACACACACACATAAAGCAGCCCCAGTGAGCCTCTTTGACTGCCTCTGCCAGATGCCACCATAAGGTGGTGTAGATAAAATGGCAGACATGTCAGCTGCAGTGTCCTGGCATGCTGGTGGCTGTGAGGGAACTGACAGCCCTTCACCCTGCCTGGGTCAAAGAGCTGAGGTGTGCCTAGCTTGTCTGGGGTGCTCCCAGGACCCCCACCCTCTGGGGTGTACGTTTAGCTTGTTGCCACCATAATGAAAATGGCCATTTTTGGTTGGACTGAAGCTGCCGGGGGGAACCACCTTGTAATGTATTAAAAATATTGTCTTTCCCATCATTGTTCCCTTCTGGATTGGAAACTAAAGAGGGCTCCTTGCTGCACTGTGGAAGGAGGTGATTAATGAAGTGAGAAGGCAGTGAGGCAGGTAGAGTTGGGGCCTGGTGAGAAGGATGAGGGGAGAAAGGCAACTTCCTTCCATATCCATACAGATCTCCTTAGTGCTGAAGCAGTCTCTGTCCAGGTCCAAATTTTGGAGTGATTTTGCATCTGCTGCAGGTGCAAGCTTTCCCTGGAAACTTCAGAAATCCAGGAGCTGGCCAGGAAAATGGTCCAGCTGATGTTAGGGATCAACCATGGCCATGGGAGCATTGCCTCTGAATGTTGACCAGCCTGGCAGTATTGCTGCCTTCCCTGGAAAATGCAGGGACTTCTCCTACCCGCTGCCACGGACAGTAACATTTCTATGTCCCTCATGCTCTTCTCTCACTGCCTGCAGGGTTACAGCAGCCTGCGCTTCCGGCCCATCAGGACCCTGAGCTCAGCAGTGGAGAACCTGAGACGGTGCAAGGTGGTGGGAGTGATCGATAAGGTAACGACTCAACCTGGAACTGGGGAGGTGAGGCTGGGCCTGCACCAGTGTGAGCTGGATCGTCCTGGCAGCCGGGGTGGGGGTGCTGGGACCCTGCACACCCACCAAGGAGCATGAGGGTATACATCCACACCATTCCCACCAAGGAAAATTGGCAGGCAAGGATGCAAGGCCCTTTAGGAGTTAGCTGGAAAATCTGTTAATGTCCCCATTACTTCTGCTTACCAGAGCTCCCAAGATATTCACAAGGAGATTAATGCACCCAGTTCTTTCCCATGTATGGAATTGTGCTTGATGCCTAGGTACCTCAATGGTGGACTCCTATGGACAATTTAGACTTCCACAGAAGACAAGCTATTTGCATGAATAAACTAATTAGTAGCTCGTGCTCTTGGAGCAAAGATGCCAGGCTTACCGTCTCCATGCACATACTGACACACTGCTCTGCTCTGTGTTCACACATCTCAGTTTGTGAGGGCTGATGTGGTCCTCCTGTCCTGTCCTGTCCTGTCCTGTCCTGTCCAGGTGCAGGTGGGTAGCTCAGCACACCTCACATAGCCCACCAGGAGCAGCATGAAGCCCTCCTTTGTGAAGGAAGCAAAAGTGGTATGGGAGCCACCTCTTGGTTTTATTAACTTTCTGCTGCATGGCTGCCTCATTGCTGACAACCTGTGGTTTGTCTTTCAAGAGCAGGGGTTTGAGCACACCAAACTTCTCTAGCTGGGTAGGAGTTTGTTTCAGTTCCAGAGCTGAGTCCCTTGGGCCATTCCTGTAGGCTGTGTGTTGGGGCGGGAGCAGTCACTGTTTCCGACCACCATTGTATATACCACTCCCAGGTGCAGATCGTCCAGGATCCTGCCACTGGTGCGACCTTTATACTTAAGGTAGGTGCTTTCAGTTTCATCTTCCTGCTTGTCCCTGTCCTGGCAGAGCCTCCTTGCCCAAGTAGATGCCTGGGGCAGGTGGGATGACCAAAAAATAGCAGCTCAGAGAGGTGGTGAAGGAAATTCATGTTCATAAAGCTTCCATAAGTGAAGTGGTTCTCCTCAGTCATCTGTTTCTCTGCCTTGTAATGCTGCCAGCCAAGCCTTATGACCATGTGAATCTGGGCCAGTCCCTGAAACAGATCATGGGTGAGGTGGGCAAGGTGTGCTTAGTACAAGTCATAGGGCATGCTACCTTTTTGGCTGGCCTCCTGCCCTGCCATGTGCTAGGTTGCAGGGAGTCCCTACCATCTACTTGTACCTCCTCAGAGCCTCCCCAAATCCCATATTGAGACCCGTGAGCGACAGACCATCATCCCTCATGGGGTCCCCTTCATGGTCAAGCTGTTGTGCTACTCTGTGAGCGAGGACTCCATCTTCCTCCACCTGGAGCACGTGCAGGGTGAGTGGGGACAGCATTGCTTTCCGTCCGTGAGGCATCCTGCTCTTACCCCCAGTCTCCCTTTCTTTAAAATCTCAAATATATTTCTCCTGCTGCTTTGGGGCTGGTTTTTATAGTGACAGCACGAGCTGTCTTATTCATAGATAGGTGGTGGGTATCAGGGCTTGGAGACATCGGGGAAGGAGCTGCTCTGCTGTACTGGGGATTTTGGGGGGTTGGTAAGAGCTGACTGGGGAAGTGAACTAGAAATGGGCCTGTAGAGACCTACAAGGAGAAAGGGGGTGCGTGTGTTATATGGAAACTAGCCTTAAGGACAACTGACTCCCATGGGAGGGAAAGGTCATGCATTGAGGTAAAGGGGTTCATGGGGACCAGAGTCTTAAAAAGAAAAATGTCTTCATTTTACTGGCATTGTTTGACCATGACAGGAGGCTGATAGAGGAGAACCAAATGAGGTGATTCACTGGGCTGGTGTAGAACAAAACAATCTTTTTCTAAGAGCTTTATAAAACTTTTTTGTTTTGTCATAAAAGAAGAGGTCACACTGGCTTTTGAGTTCATACCAAAGAGAGGAAATGGAGAACTGGGGCATAAAGGGGTTCTGGTACAACATGGAGGTAAACTTGAGGCTTGTCCCAGATCCTCGTAAAGAAGTTTGATAATGTGGAGGTTTGTCCCAAGAAGCTGCTTCACTCTCTGCTGGTTCAATGGATGTGTAGAGAGCAGCAGCTGGAGTCCAGCAATGACAAATGCAGGCTGATGTGCTGGAGAACAGCCTCAATCCTTGTGCACTCCGGTAGGATGAATTTGCAGACAGCAGCTGAGTGTAGTGAGGTTGGGAAGCCCTGGCACGGTGCTGCGGGCTCAGGGTTCGCTGCTCTCTGGCTCATCGCTGACCCATGGGCTCTGCGCTGTGTGGTGGGAGCTCTCTGGCACCTCCGTCACACAGGAGGAAAATGGGGATGGCAGTGGGGTCAAGGGCATGTATTAACATGTGGTGGAAGTGGTAGAGCTGGAATCAAGGAGACTGTGTAGGATGGGCAGCAGGGCTGCTACAGTGGTGTGCTAGGTCCCAGGGGAGGTTGAACATGGTGTGTGCGTGTATTCTGCATGGACTTGAGCTCTGCTGCAGGGGCGATTAATGATGCTTGACCATGTCCCCAGTGTGTGGACCATGGCCTGTCCCTGTCCCTGAACTGGCTGTGTCTGCAGAGGGGGAACCAGGGATGCTTTCTGCCTGTTACTTGTTCTCCTCTCTGCTTTCCAGGAGAGACACTGTGGTCTCACCTCCGCTCCAAGTACCACGTCCAGCAGGGCTCTGCAGATTCAAGCACTGCTCAAGCCCTCAGGGACCTTGGCAGGGAGGACGGTGTGGGAAGCTCCCAGAGCAGCAGCCAAGTCTCCATCTTCTCTGCTCGGACAGGCAGTGGTTTCCCAGGCTCCACAACCCACCGAGTACCGGGAAACACTGACGCTTCACCCCCTCGGGAGCAGACTCCCATCCCCACGGACCGTGTTCCAGCAGCACCAGCCAAAGGCCCCAGCCACCTCACCAGCCACGGCCCGGTCATCTACCCCTGGGACTCCCTAACCAGCAGCACCGGCTGTGTGTCAGAGAGAGCAGCCTCCCAGCCAGGCCCCCGGCTCCCCCAGCCTGTACTGAACACTGCGAGAGGGGCCCAGCCGTCACCTCAGCAGGTGCCTGAGGTCCCTGGGGCTCGGTCCCTCCTGACCTCGGGTCGGAGGCAGCTTCGTGCAGGATTTGCTCCGCCCGGCTCTGTGCAGCCCCGCGGGCCTGGCCCGGTGGCGCGGGAAGCCTACGGAGGGCTGGGCCAGCAGCCGCCATCAGAACAGTGCCGGGCTTTGGCTTCCTGGGGGCAGGGGCGCAGGGCATGGGCCGTGCGGGAGGAGCAGGTGCGGCTCTGGGCAGCTGAAATCCTCCTGGCCCTGGAGGGGCTTCACCAGCAGGGCGTGCTGTGCCGAGACCTCAACCCCAGGAACCTGCTGCTCGATGCGGCGGGTAGGTAGTGCGAGGCTGCTGCCTGGAAGGAGGAGGTTGGCTTCCCCGCTGGGAGACTGCCGTTTGCTCCATTTCCAGGGCACATGGGCTTCCTTCGGTTTGCCTTGTGGGAGGCGGGGAGCCTGGGGAGGTTTGGGTGTCTCTGAGCCTGGAAATGTGGTCGTGGTTGGGATTTCCAAGCAGTTACAAGACTTGGCTCTGCAGCGAGAGAGTCGGGGGCCGTAGCCACAGGAATGCATTGCCCCTGCGCCCAATTAGGGGCTGGCTGCTGGGAAATCCCAGCATGGGCAAGACAGATGAAATCAGCTGAGCTGTGCCTGAGGTTAGTGGAACTGCAGTTCTTCCCTGCTTGTAGTTACGATTGGGTGTTTTGGAGCTGCCTCATCACTGGGAGCCACGGGTACCACTGTCAGAGCAAGTTCCTGCTCAGCTGGTAACACCTGGGGCAAACTGCAGAGGCACAAATTGCTTGGGAAAAGAAAAATGCAGGAAGCTTTGCAAGGGTCAAGTTATCCCCTCACCCCCCTAAGAGATGACTCTTTCCTCACTACAGCCTGTACTGAGGTCTGTGGGCTTGCTTGGGCAAGCACTGGGAGTCCAGGGGATGTGCAGTGCCTCTGTGCTCAGGGCACGGCAGGGGCCCTGCCTGTTCCCAGTTGCTGGGATAGTGCTTGGCTTTGTGCTCCAACCAAAGTCCCTGGCTTTGTGCTAATTGCCCTGCTTTTGCCTCTGGTGCTGCCTTGTAGGTCACATCCGTCTCACCTTCTTTGGCCAGTGGACAGAGGTGGAGCCCCAGTGCTGCAGCCAGGCCCGGGAACAGCTGTACAGTGCCCCAGGTAAGGGCAGCAGGAGGTGCCCTGCACAGTGCAGCCACTGGTGCTCCCTGCCTCCAGCTCTAACGCCTCTCTGGCTCTTTCTGCAGAAGTTGGGGGGATTGCAGAGCCCACTGAAGCAGCTGACTGCTGGAGCTTTGGCTCTCTCTTGTATGAGCTGCTGACAGGAGTGGTAAGAGGCAGAGGAGCTGTGCAAGGAGAGGGGAGGAGGAGGTGATGCTGTAGCTCAAGGGCTCCCTGCCATGCAGGTACCAGGAGGGTGCCAGGTTGCTTCAGGCATGAGATTCCAAGTGCCTGTGCCTGGTCTCGGGGTGTTCAGGGCCCTGGATTTTAAATCCTGCTGTGTAGGACTGGGGATGCATGGCCATGAGGGTACTCCTACCCTCCTCAGTGCCTCTGCTCACCATCACCCTCTGTTTCCTGCAGCCGCTGTCCCAAAACCACCCTTCAGGGATTCAACCTCACACCCAGTTGCATGTGCCAGAGGGGCTCAGCCTGGCTGCTACCTCACTGCTCACAGAGGTGAAGGGCTTGAGTGGCTGGGAGGGAGGACAGGGCTACTAGCTACTGTCCAGCCTGGGTCACTTTTCCAGAGTCCCCTCTCTCCTCATCCTGCTGTCCCATCCTCTTTCTCTGCAGCTCCTGCAGTACAACCCAAAGCAGCGCTTGGGCTCTGGAGGAGGTGGCATGGCAAAGCTGAAGTCCCACTCCTTCTTCAGCACTATCCTGTGGAACAAGCTGGTGGGCTAGGCAGGCCGTCCCTCCTGTGGAGAGCTGCGCACAGCCACTGTCCCTGGTGGCACCGGGAGCTCTGCCTGCAGGGGCTGCCCTGGGGAGGGCTACACATAAGGTTTTGCAGCCTTACATGTTGTCTCTGCCTGTGTTTGTTGGTGTCTCCAAGGAGGCTGTGGTCTGGGCCTGGCTGTCTTCTCCTCCAGGTCCTCCCTGGTGGAAAAGGGAGCCCAGGTGCTCACCCCTGGAGAAAGGCCATGTGCCCTTTTTCTGGGGCACCCCTTGCTCAGCTTAGCACCGTGCCCCAGGGCTCCTCACTACAGTTTTTATCTCTGCTCCTACCACAGTGACCCCCCGTTGCCCTGTTATATTTTGTGGCTTCCACGTGCATCACCTCTGGGCCCTGCTGGCTGGAGCCCAAGCCTGGGGCCTGCCCATCCCTGACTGCATGTGTGTGTGGGTGGTGCCTGCTGTGGGAGGGAGTCTCTGCACTTCTCCTCCAGCCCTCTGAGGAAAATAAACCACTTGTTATTGCTTGCAGAAGTGTCCTTTTGTTTCTGACCTAGATGAGCCAGGCCTGGGCCCAGTGTGCTGACTGAGGGAGAGCCCCAGATCTGTTCTCAAACCTACTCTGAGCCCTGGGTTGGTGTTGCCTACTGGCTGTCAGCACCCTGCAGCCACAACGCAGAAGACGGCATCAAGTGCCTGTCCAGCTCCCCTCGTGCCCCTGCCTACCCATGGCCTCTGGGGTCTGCATAGCCATGCAGCTGCAGCTTGGAGCTGGGAAAAAGGCACAGAGTACCTGTATCTTCTTCCAGCCTTGATTTTTGTCTTCATCACCCATGCTAGCTCCAGTTAGCACTTGTGCCCAAGTGCTCCTCTCTGCTGGCAGGATAGCAGTCCCACTGCCCTCCTTGCTCTGTTTTCAGTGTTGTCATCCATGTGATGGTTTAAAGGGATGATGAACTATTGAGAGCCAGCACAGATGGGAGGAAGATAAGAGTAAATACAAACTGTGACAGAAGAAGCAGCAGCATGAACAAAAGGTGTCCGCTAACAGCCCAAAGCAGGGGAGGCTGTGCTCATCAGTGCAAATCAAAACTGTAGGCTGAAGGATGAGCTAGCAATGGCAGTGGTATAGTTCTGGCCCTCCCAGCACTCACTCATCCCCAGTAAGTAGTAAGGAATATTGTAATTCACGGGTGCCAGTAACAGTGAGGAATTACTGGCACGAGTGAAACTCTTCTGTGGCTAGCTGATTCCAGCACCCGCTTGCCACAACCACCATCAGAACCACTCTGCTCCTGGCTGACTCGGCCTGGCTCTCAAGCAGCACCAGGAGCGCTTGTCCACCAGGGGGAAGCAGAGCCTGGTCGAAACTCATCTCCACCCAGCAAAGGCAGGGGACACCTCAAGGGACGTGCAGAAGCAAGAGGGCTAACCAGGAAGCTGAGCACTTATGCCTCAGCAGGAGCAGCTAAGCCTGGGGCCTCCCCTCTCTAGTGCAGCATGCAGTGGCTGAACCCTCGAGCAGCAAACCTGCACCTTCGGCCACCAGCCACCTCATCCTGTGATTCAGGGGAGGTTCAGTAGAAGCCACACCTGCCTCCTTGCAACACAGTGCCATCAGCGTCACCCAGAAAGGCCAAAACCAATGAAGCTCCAAGCATGGCAGCTGCACGACCCTCCTACAGCAAGCAAGCCCCAGCACTGCAGAGTAAATAAAGCTGTTTGTTAGGCTGCATGATTTTAAAAGCTTGACTGTACATTCACTCTCTGGGTAAAGACCTCATTTAGCGCAGCTCCAGACAGAATAGAGGCATTGCCCTTCCCCAGGCTCATATGCAAAGTCAAAATGGGCCCTCTGTATCCTAAACCAGCATGGAGGGCTGGGTGTTAATAGCGTTCTTAATCAGAACATTCTCTTTCACTCCATTCATTCATGCAAGAGCATCTAGAGTCTTTGTCCTTCCTTTTCAGAAGAGGGAAGGGGTTTTTCCTCTCCTCCCAACCTTCTACTTCAACCAGGGACAATCGGAGAAAAGCTGGCTCCACACACAGTTTTGTCCATAGCTGCCAGGAAGATGCAGGAACCAGTCCTAGGCACTACTCTCCCTTTGGCCAGCTTGCCAGCTGTGAGTGCAATCATTTTCTGTTACAAGGGGCTGCTTTCTTCACTCGTAGCTGGAAAGGGCAAGCCACCCGTCAAAGTTCATGTCAGAGCTGGAAAAACCCTGCTATGAACCAGGAACAATTTCATACTGTTCCAACAGGGACAGCATCTTGGGAAAACACTCTCAGCACCAAAGACAGCTTTTGCATTACAGTTCTTAGATATTCCCTCCTTCCTCCCTCTGCAACCCAAATAGCCTTTTTCACCACTTGCATGATTTACAACTCTCCTGTTGTAGCAGGGAAAAAACCTGGCTCCATACCTGCACTTTAAAGAGCCTATCCCAGGTCTCCCTCTTGGCCACCATGCTATTTAGCAAACACTGGGATTTCCTAACCATCTGTAACAGTTCTGTTGCTAGACCAAGAAAAGGTTGATTTCCAGCCCTGAAAACATCATCTATGCTGGGAAGAGCCAATTCTGTGCCAAAGAGGGTTTGAGGACAGTAGAGTTCACAGCCAGAGAAGCCTCAATTTAGTACCACTAGTGATGGGCCCAGCCCCAATTTTCTCTTTTCTCACACCACCAGGTAACAGGCTTCTTACATCACACTAGGGATGCAGCTGGTGCCCCTCACCCAGGAGCTGCTGCTCACACCACCCCCCTCCAAACACACCCCACCTCGCAGTCATTGCCCAGTTTTATTTCATTTAAAATCCGCTGTGTTAAATATTTTAGTTACAAGTTTTGTGTAGAGGGTAATAGACTCTGCAGGCACTAGCAACTCCCTCAATCCCCCATACATGTGTGCGCTATCAGATTAAGGACTGCCCCCCTCCCCCCAAACCAGCATCCTCGGGCTGGGATATACATTACAGTTAAAGCCCGGGCCCTCCCCAGCGCTTTCTGTGCTGGTAGCAGGCCAAGCCCTTGCACACAGGAAGCCAGCAGTCGAATCCACCATCAGTGAGCTGTGATTCAAGGACAGCTGCTGGGGGCTGGTTCTTACCCCCGTGTCAGGCATGTAATGGTGAAAGTGTTGTCCCCCCGCAGGGAACAGTGCTACCTCCACAGAGGTCATGGGCTCTGCCCACCTGGACATGAACATTCACGCCACAGTGACTGGGCTGGAGAGAGACAATCAATCTCCAAGGGAAAACGGGAGCTGCCACCACTGCGTGCCTGTCTGCAGAGGGCACTGCCAGAGGCAAGACACCTACCTCAAGCCCAGCTCTGATCAAACTCTCTGCTGCAAGCAGCAGCCTGCAGGTCCCCAGACTGCCCTTGCAAGACAGATGAGTGTGAAATATTTTAAAGCAAAACAGGGACATAAGATCAGCCTTTCCTCTCCTCTCCCCCCCAGGAACCTCAGTGCTAGGAAATACAGCTGAACCCACGTTGGGGTGGCAGGGAAGGGTACCCTAGCACAGCAGCAGCAAGCAGTTTCCAGTGGTACAGGACAAGCCAGAGGTGAGAGTTTGGTGCTGTGAGGGAGAGGAAGCCACACAGACAGCTCTGGAAAGGCAGTGCCAAACAGCGGTCGGCCCACTGCATAGCAACCCTCATGAGAAAATGAACCTTTGCTAAACAAAATAGGAAAGGAGGTAGGAGCTATCCCCACAATTCCCTCTGGGGCAGCTCCAATCACAGCGGAGGGAGGGAGACTGGAATGACCCCTGCCAGTTCCTGAATGCCCTGCATTGGCCCTGCTGGTGCTGCGGCCCTGCCCTGGGTGAGTTGCGTGGGGGTGAGGCTGCTCTACAGGTCGAGCAGCAGCACGCGGGGATCCTCCACCGCTGCCTTGATCTTGCGCAGGAAAGTCACTGCCTCTCTGCCATCAATGAGCCGGTGATCATACGTCAGCGCCACGTACATCATGGGCCGCACCTCGATCTGAAAGGGAGGAATTAGACATCAGTGAGCTCAGCCCTACCACAGGCACGATGCCCTCCACAGGCTTTTTCCTAACCTGAATCCAGAGCTCAGACCCTCTTGGAGGTATCCTGCTTGGTACCTATCCACTCACCCAGGCACTGACCATCACCCAGCCTGGGTCCACAGCATACAAGACTAGGTCCCTTTCTGGAGCTGTTCTCTGTCACAAAGGCTACAGCATCCTCCTCGCACCTAAGCAGATTATCCAGTTCTCCCCATCACAGACAGGATAAGCACACCCTGCATACCTCAGGCAAGTACTTGTGCCAGGAAAGCTTCCCTACATCCATTAGTCTCTGCTCCTCGTTCACAGTACAGACTTTCAGAAGTTGACAACAACCCCTTAGAAAAAGCATGCGGGCTACAGTCCTTATACCACTGAGCCTTCTCCTCTGTTCACTGACGCCTCCTGTGCAGTTCCACCTACCTTGCCTCCCACAGCCACAGGCCTGTCAAAGATGGCATGCATGCCTAATATGGCAGACTGGGGTGGGTTAATGATAGGTGTCCCAAAGAGTGACCCAAAAACCCCTCCGTTGCTGATTGTGAAAGTGCCACCATCCATGTCTTCAATGGCCAGTTCGTTCTTCCGTGCCTAGAAGAAAAAGTAAGGTCTTAGAAAGCCACACAAATCACAGAAGGCAAAGCATGAGCGTTTGGACATTCACTCTCTCCAGGAATAAATGCTGATGGCAAGAGCTTCACTTATTGATCTGTTCAGATGAAAACTAGAACCAATTACTTGAAAATGTATCCTGTTGTTAGGTCTGAATATTTACTGGCTTTGGGGAAAGATTCTCTCCTTCCAACTCCTGCTTTTGCAGGAGACAGACACAGAGACTTCTACCCCAGGGCAGCTCAGCCACGGCCTCTAAAGACAGAGATGAAGACACTAATGCATAGTTTGCGGTCTTCTGGAAGGGCAACAAGTAAATAGGCCTGTCCTGTAAGGCACGGGCACAGCTACAGATGTAACTGGATCACTCCCCACAGCACAAGTCAGTGTGTCAGAGGTCAGAGATGACGACAACAGAGGGAGCGAATCAATTCATGCCTATCCAGCACCCTCAATTCTTCCCACTCCTCTCCACCCTTTTCAGAAAAAGCTCCAACTTTCCTTACCTTCTCCCCCAGCTCGTAGATGGCACGCTCAATGTCAGCATAGTTCATGTTTTCTACATTCCTAACAACAGGGACCACAAGACCCTACAGAGAAGCAAAGTGCATAATCAGCTAATTCACTGTGGTGCCACACAGACAACTGGCCTCAGCCTAGCAGCATTCCTGCCTCCTCCTCAGCACACAGCAGGTAGCTGGCAGAGCTGCCTTGCACCCTGGCAGCTGGCTGGGAAACTGGGCATGACACACACCAAGGGCTGACTCCATAAATGAGACTTCATCTTTGCCTTGTAAGCCTGTCCCGTAAAATCAATCAGGTCTCTCTGGATCCAGCTCCATGTCCACAAAGGCAGGTGAGGCTCTGGGCAGAATTCAGCTGCCACCTCTTTCTCTGTGAGAAGAGTGGAATCCCTTTATGCTGGTACTTCTCTAGACTTCAGGAGCAGTGACAGTTTCAGTCCGGGCCAAACCTGGCCAAAGCCTCACAAAAGAACTAATTAATTCAGTACCTGCATCTCCATCCCATACTCTACCTGGACAGGAACATCTCTGAATCAGCAACTTCATTTACAGAAAAGGTGGAACAGCACAGCAGCATTAGCCTTTGGACAGGACATGCAAAGCTTTTACTGTCTATTTCACATCCTCATTAGTCCATGAAAAAAAAAACAGTTTCCCTAACTTGGCCCTACTCATAAGCCACTGAGATCTTTATTGACTTTGTTACTATATCTCCTACTACAGTGGAAGAGTATTCTTGGTCCTCCATCTTCTCCCAAAACCCATCTCAGCAGTCCACAATGTCTCAGATGCATCATTTAGAAAATCAGCCTGCCTCATCAGTAAATTTCTGCTGCAGCAGAGCTCAAACTGAATTGGCTCAAACTACATGACCAACCTAGACCTGAGGCTGCAGGAAGCACAGCCAAAGCAGCCAAGGTACCTACCCGGGGAGTTGCTACAGCAACACTAATGTCCACATAGTCCCTGTACACAATCTCTTTGGTTGTGTCATCAATCACTAGAAGAAGAAAAAAAGATGTGTCACACATGCAGTACACAAGATCAAGGGCTCAACAGGCCAGAAGCAGCCATGAAACCGTAACTCATCTCTAGCTCTAGTTATGTTTAGCTCTAGCGAAACGTATCTCCAGAGAAGCACGAGCCCTCACTGCCTGTGGGAGAAACATCAGGACAGGCAGAAAGGAAACACAGTCACAGAATCCAAGAATTGCCAGGTTTGGAAGGGACCTTTGAAGGTCACCTTGTTCAACACCCCTGTCCAAGGCAGGGTCACCTACAGCAGGTTACACAGGAATGCATCCAGGTGGGTTTTGAATGTCTCCAGGCAGGGAGACTCCACAACCCTATTTGGCAGTCTGTTCCAGTGCTCTGCACCCTCAGTCTCCCTCAGACATCCCCTTGATTATTCTCTTCTGTGTTGAGGAAGTCCCTCGACACCTCCCAGGAACTGCACTGCACCTACAGCAGGTACCTCTGCACCAACCAACAGAGTCTGCTGGCTCTGCCTTCTGCAGGCTGCACATGCACGGCCCCAGCCTGACTCCAGGCAATCCCTATCTTAATAGAGCCCCTCTTGGCAAGCTGTGTTCCCCCTACATAAATGGCTTTAGCAACATCAGCTGCAGCAAGTAAGACTGTCCTCCTTTTTCCTGTCTATCTGACTTGCTTGTTCAAACTACTGGCATCACCATGGACTTGGTTACCTGCTTTCCCCCACTCTGCCATGTTCACTGGTGAGATAGGCAACTCACCTGCATTCACAATGGGCTGGTCCTGCAGAGCAAAAGCTGCAGCTTTCACAAAAGCTGACATGAAACCTAGCTTCAGGTTGTGCTTTTTCAGGAAGGGATCCCTGTGTATAGCTCTCATCTCCCGGATGTTGCTGTAAAACACATGGTAACGCTGGATAGCAGGGAGTCCAAGAAAACACTGTTCCCTTGCTCTGTAGTAAGATTTTCAGTGCCCATCCCCAAGGACTGCAAACCTCCACCAACCAGCAAACCTCAGTCTGCAGAAATATCCTTCAAGTATCATAGCTGAAGTGGGCTGAAGGTGGCTCTAAAGCCCCTGCCAAAGGATCTAACAGGAATTGGACCTGGACCACAAACTCAACAGGACAGGGTTAGCCTGCATGGCCCACATTCCTGAGCACAAAAGCAAGATGGGACATGGCCTATTTCCTGCTTAGGCCTGATATTGCCACTGATTCTCTGGAGACACCAGTGCTGATAGCAGTGTGGCACCACAGACAGCAACTGCAGCTGTGGCTGTGCCAGCCCCAGAAGGGTGAAAAACCAGGAAATGCCAAGAGCAGAGAAGACACACATGGTGACTGAGTGAAAGGACTTCAGTCATCATGCAAGTCCAGCACCAGCCAGAACAATGATGCCTCCATACCCAACTCTCTGGCTTTGGGAGTTGAGTGAACATGAAAGAAATCTTTCCAGCTGCTACGGCAGTGGGTGCCAGCCCACTCACAGCCCTTAACCAGACTAACTGTGGTTCCCCACTGTTTTATTTATGAGAACTGAGGCCATTTACAGAAAGTCAACCAATCTATGGCTACAACCTCTGTCTATTCCGGGCTAGTGCCAGATGCTTTGGAACTGCATGGTCCCTCCCCCCTCTAGAGACCTCAAGTCTTTGAAGAGACAATTTCAGCTAGGGGCAGGGTTCTTCATGGTCTAGAGTGTTTGTTTTCCTGCACCTAACCTTGTTTAGGGCTAGGATTACCACCCAAAGACATTAGTGCCTCCCAAGACACAAGGGCTGCAGCAATGGGGATGAGGTTTGCTACAAAACTGGCTCATTATGGCTTCCTTCTTTCAGACACTGACCCCCAAGGGAAGCAGAAGGCCCCAGCACAGGTCCTCACGAGTCAACCTCACAGCAATCAATCCAAACCAGATTACCAGATGCAACAGAGAGCCCCAGGCCAGCGTAAACTGACACCTCAATGAGCCTCTGAGAGGAGATAAAGCTGCAGCACTTCCCCTCCAATCAAGACTATTTTGCCAACCTTATTGTTCTGAGACACAAATATTTACATGTTTTGTCTTAAGGAGCAGAATAGGATTTCACAAGGCAATTTGATTTGGGCACAATTTCCCCTTAATGCACTGTAACATAAGCTGCCCACCCTCCAAATCCATTAGTGCATTCAGTCCATGCAAGCACTTGAGTCAGGAGACCCCCCACCTGCCCAGAGGGGATGGGGAAGGATGCTAGCCTGCCTCTGGAAACCTGCACCGTCTGACAGCAAAGTCCTCAGACCTATGTAATGCTCACCCAAAAGGCTGATGAGACCTGGGGAATCACCTTATTGGAACCTAAATATGCCCACCTCCAAAAGCAGTAATCTGGTGGGGTGGCAGAAAGCAGCTGCTACATGTTGATGCCTTCTAACAGCCACTACACAAGTGATACCAGTCACTCCTGCTGTTCTGCTCCACATTCACCAGTTCTTAACCAAGAAGCACGCAGATAAGGAATCAGACTGCCCCTTCACAGTCAGTGGATGACTCCCAAGGAATGAAAGGCCATTAGGAAGTTATGCATTCCTCATACCACAACCCCAGCATAGCCCTGATGAAGTTGTGCAGACAGTGGTACACACCTAAGAAAGAGGTCCCAAAAGACAGGTTGTTAGTCTTTCCAAAGAGAATCAGCAAGGTCTTCACTGCTAGGTAAAGATGACTGCCTACATCTATTTCTACTCATAAAGGGAAAGAGATCTGCTCCTCACCTCATATCAATCTCATTGAAAGTGGTCAGCATGGCACAAGTATTCTGAGCCTCCTTCAGCCGCTGAGCGATACGCTGGCGCATCCTGTTCATTTTCACCTGAAAATTAAAAAGATATAAGCAGAAGCTGCCTCAAGCTCATCCAAGGGGGATAATGCACAAGAAACTCAAAAGACTTTTGTTCTTGCCATTTTGTTGACTAGTAATAGATGCCTAGGACCAAGGTTTTCACTCCAGGTCTCCATGAGGAGCATGACAGGCTGAGGAGTCGATTTCACTATGGAGCTGCCCAGCTCAACTTACAGTTCATCTGAAAAGCAGTGCTGAAATGCATCACAGTGTAACTACTTCTGACCTACATGCTCCTCAGGACCTCCAAGCATGCATGGGTTTCCAGCATGAGGTTAACATTAGAAGAGCAAGGCCGCTAAGAAAGCAGGCTGCCCAGCCATGTTCTCTTAACCATGCACAAGGCAGGTGCAGCAGCCTCAGCCCTTTGCTGAGGGCTTGTGGACAGACCAACCAGATCACACGGAGCCTTCTGTGCTTGATCAGCAGAGCTCGCGACAAGACTTTTGACTGCGTCAGACTGGACCTGTCACTTCCTCCACCCCACTAAGTGGTGCCCTCACGTAGAGAACTTCCCCATCTGTCACAGCCCCACTGAGCTGGGTGTGAACAGGTAGACATGGACACATCTGGGGTAGCTCAAGGCTTATGCCAGAACAGATTGCCACCCAGCAACAGAAACACTGGCCAGGCCACTACTCCCCCAGCTTACCCTATGCTCTGATCTGGCACCTTTGCTGGGCGCTGCCTCCCCAGAAGGGGCTGCCGCAGGGGCAGCCGGCTTCACCGCAGACACTGAGGGTAAAGAACACATCAGTCAAAAACGGAAGTCAGGGCTTGATCACAAAATGCCCTGAGGTAAAAAGCCCGTTTGAGCTCAAGCAACACGGTGTGGAAGCAATCTTTGAATTGGGCTGGGCAGGCTTCAGGCATAGCTGAGCTCTGCAAATGGAGCATGCAGGACAATAGTGCAGGGCGGGGCTTCACCACAAATGCCAGACTATTTGCTGTCTTTAACCTTACATATGCTCCTTTAGGAAGAGAGGCTTGAAAATAGGAGAAAACAGCTGCTGCCTCACCTGGTTTGCTGTCGATGGGCTGAGCTGGTGTAGGCGGCACTGGTGGCATTGTAGTGGGAACTGGTGCTGCAGCAGGAGGAGGAGCAGCTGTAGCTACAGGTTCAGGGGCTGCAGGAGGAGGAGGGGCTGCTGCTGGTTTGGCCTTGGCAGGAGCAGCTGAAAAACAAGAAGGAACCATGGTAAGGGCAATGATGACTTCCACTGCCAGGTGTCCCTGAGTCCAACCAACGTGATAAAAGTTAACCCTCTGGCAGAGTGCTTTACAGTTCTCAGCACTATTGAACTGACAGAGGTCACCACAAGAGCATCCCATGGTGAGCGTGTTTTACTCGACACCCTAGATCTCCTCACTGTGCAGGAGACTGGATGCTAAAGAGAAGAGGATGGAGAAGGGAGTTACACAGGAGAATTCTCACCTAATTTTAGCTTAGAGTTGCAGTCTCCTACAGAAGGAGCAAAAGGAAAGTTCCCCCTCAGAGAGACTACAATTATGCTTGGACAACAGAAGTATTTTCTTCCAACTGCAGAGGCAGATGGAGAAAACATTTACTGTCTCTCAGGATCCCTTTCAATGCCTTGCTTCTATCTTAAGAAAAAAGATGGGTGGAAACAGGAAGAACTGTGCAATAACTTGCATGACTCACCTCCAGTTTTCCTGAGTTTGAACAGAGGTGTCCCCCCTTCCACTTTGCCACCATCAGGTACCAGAAGGGCTTCAATCACACCAGCTGCTGGAGCTGGAACTTGCACTGATGTCTGCAAAAAGGAAAACCAGTGAAATTTCCCCAACCACTGGACGGAGAACTAGTGCCCAACAGCAGATGACAATATGTGCACTTACACATTCTACGCGGCACAGACAGCAGCTCTGTCTTGCACCATTTGCACAAGTTTTCACACCCTCCACCAGAATTTTGTGCCAATACACAGAAGTTTTAGGAGATGGTGGCAGTGTAATGTACAGCCTGATCTTCCTGCTTCAGCATACAATCAAGAATTGACCTGCTGTCAGCATCTTCTTGACAGCAACAATGGAAGCAGAACTTGGCAGGCAGTTTCAGCAAGAACATCAAAGCTTAAGATTCTTTTAAGGAGTGAGTAAATTTAAAGGCTAAATTTACAGTCACGTGAAGACATCCTATGGCTCTGCAGATTTCTCCTTTGTTTAAACACAAACAGGTTTCAAAGCTTAGAGCACCAAAATTGGAAGGAGCAGGGGAACTGCAGCTCCAACAAATATCAGTACCACTGATGCTTAATCAAATATATGAGAAATGAAGAGTTGACAAAGAATTCTCACTTAAGGCACAGTCAGCTTTCATGCTAGATGAGAAAAGCTTTTCTCTATGAAGGGAGCAGGAGACACAGGCAGGGCTTGCAGGCTCTAGGAGCTCTTAGCATTAGAGGAGCCATACAGAGTACCTATTATGAAACTAGAAAAAGGTTTGGTCCAAAAGTTGCGGCTTTGAGCAACCTGGTCTAGTGGAAGGTGTCCCTGCCATGGCAGGGGGGATAGAACTAGATGATCTTTAAGTGTCTTTCCAACCCAAACCATTCTGTGATTCTATGGAAACTCTTACCTTGTCTGTTTCAATTTCACATACCACTTCATCTTCTGCCACTGTGTCTCCAACAGCTGAATGACAGATATGAAGACCACTGTGAGGAGGGAGTCATGCTCTGGCCATGCTCTTAACTCGCAGCTAGCTCCCCCACTAAACCAGACTTTTCTCACTCCAGTTCTTTGTGACTTCTAAAGAAAAGTCCAGCTCAAACAATCAATATACTGCATAGTCAGTCCAATTCCAGTTGAGACATCACCCTTCACCCAACATCATCCATGACAGAGAAGTACTGAGATAGTAACTTCAATCTTTAGGAGAACTGCAATTAACTGCCCCTTTTGTCACAGACTGAAAGGCAAAAAGCAGGCTGTCAGCCAGTGAACCCAATCTGTCCAGTGCAGCAGCACCAGTGCTGAGAATTTCAGAGGCAACTGCTTACCTTTCTCCCACCTGACATCTCCTTCTGTGACTGACTCTGCAAAGGCTGGTGTGTTCACTGTAACCACATCATCCCCTGTGAGAGAAAGAGACAGACTTGAACGCACTCAGAGCTCAAAACTTATGCCATTGCTTCACTCTTGTCATCAGGACTCTAGCAGAGGGGGTAGGTCAACAGATCTTCTTCTTGCTTCAATACTGAGTAACATTTAAACACAAGAGAATAAACCCCCATCTAACTGAAAGGCACACTGTGACAGGAACACCAGACAAAAAGTCTTTAGGGCCCTGGAACGTAAACCCTCAGCCAACCATCAAGGTGGGAGAGCAGTGGGCCTAGGACAGAAGAGCTTCAGCTGTTGCCAGGACAGCAACAGGTAGCACAAGAGCCACTGACTCCTGACTCTGTACTTACTATGTACTGCAGTGGTTCTGAAGTAACGGACAGTGAAGACACTGGAGCTATTTACTCTGCAGAAAAAGAGAGAGATGTGAACACAGAAGCATGCTTCTTTGCAGGCTGCAGGCACCAAGCCCAAGCTCAGAATTTACATTTGCTTAACTGATCTGAAAGGCTGCTCAGCAGTTCTGATCTATTTGTTCCAAAGGACTCCTACTTACTGTTCAAGGTGCAACAATCCCACTACGAAACGTTACAGCTTACCATAACTAGTGCTCTCTGAAACTCTGTCAGAACTGACATTTATGGAATTAGAATTTAGGGGAGAGAACCCCTAAGAACCCCTGTGGTTTAAACACTGACCCAGCCAGCCTGCCCTATGCCCAAGACTAGCACAATAACCATTTTTTGCGTCCATATCAAGACTCTCATCTCTACAGAACTTGCTAGATTGCTCCAAAGAAAGAGAAAGCACCACACATTGCCAATGGTAACACATCAGAGACAGCTATTTCTTTCCATCATGTCCCTTCACAGGAAGCTGGCAATCCCAAGCGTTTCAAAGGACGTTTTTAATACCTACTGACACCTTGTTTAGAAACGTGAAGCAAATGTGATTCAGCATTTCCTCTAACATAGGGTACTTGGTGCAAACAGATCAGCTTTGTAAGCTTTTATGGATATGCTTCAAAGTTATTTCTCCAAATACATTTTTACAAGACCACCTCAGCAATGCAAACCATGCCATATGAACAACAGCTCCTTGGACCACCCCACTTCTCCTGACAGAAATCCTACCAGGAGGCTACCATAGAGAACAAAACTTCTAGTCAGATAATCAAAGTGTAAAGATCCATTTATCATTACAAATTTCCTCATTCCTGTCCCTTCCTAGCATCAGTATCTGGTTCCAAACAAAGCTTATTTTCTTTAAGCATACCACAGATCCTGACCTGAAAACCCTAAACTTTCTTAGGGATAACTCCAAGCTCCTATAATGTGCATAGGGATTTTATGAAAGCCAACCATATTCTGCCTCCCAGCCCCTGATCTTACCAGGGCTAGAGCAGTCCCAGCCTCTCCCCATCACAGCTTTCCTGGAGATACTTACACAAGCTTCCTGCTGTTCGTGTAAGCCAGTCCCTGGCTCCCAGCCACACCTGTGAATGAAAATGGTGTTACCCCACAGGAATGTTATCCAGCTTGTGAGTGTTCTTGTCAGGTACAAGAGTGCAGAGGACATCACTGTCCACCCTGAAAGAAGCTTGTGATTACGTGGGCAATATAGCCACCTCAGTGCCTTCAAACCTGCCCAGAGCTTGCCAGGAACAGTAGTCTTGCCTTCATCTAGATTTACAGAGATGGGAAAAACAGTTATATCTTGATCTCAAAGCTAATAAGGATAACTTTGGAAACGGCAAACAAAGCAGCAGCTACTCCAGTCAAATCAACCCAGGAAACAGCTACAAAGGACTGCTAAAACCTCAGTTGCTGCCGAGTTATCCTAATACAAAGGGGCTCCTAATAGGAACAAAGCATCCGTCACCTATGAGGCACCCCAGGAAGCCTCACAGTTGTATGGACAGAAGTAAGGAGTCAAAAAAGAACTTAATATAGGGCTTAGGGCACACCACCATCATCCCTATTCTCTGCCCACCCCTGTCTCAAGAACTTCCTTTTCCAAAACCCAGAGCAGGTACTTGCATGCACAGGTTCTTGGTTTCACGCACCCCACTGCCCCTTCCCACACTGCTCACATGCCCTGACACTGCAATTTTAATTACAAACTGATCTCCTGTCCTTTATCTCTTTCAGGGCACTGAGCAGTTTTCCAGACTGATCTTAAAGTGAGTCAGCACAGCAAGTGGGGAACGCAGTTATTCCAATCACACAACGCCAGAAGGAAGAACCATTTCCCCACTTGATTTTCTTAAAAAAGCTACACAATTTTGACACCATCCCCTCCTAAAGAGCTGATATTGGAGCTGTAGAAACTGGAAAAGGTAAGCAGATGAAACTGGTTTCTCAAAGTGCAATCAGAAGTGAGTGATGTCATGTTCTATAAACACAGTACAGCTAGTCAAAAAAAAAAGCAGAGGTCTGGGAAAATCCAGTTTAAGCACTGAAGAGGAGTTCACAGGCGTGCTAGATGTGACATGTTACTTCACATTCACCCATCATTTTCAAAGGAGTTTATTTGAGAGCTAGGCTCTGCAACAGTATGTGTTTCAAGCACTGCAATGCTTGAAACACACTGTGCTGCTGCTGTGAAGTCATCACCAGAGTCAAATGGATCAGGCAGCATGTATATTCAGCAAGGGAGGCACTCACATGGAAACACATCTCATTTCACCAACTGCTTCTTCATTACATGATTGACAATCAAACCTATTACCCATTTCCATCATCAGCTCTGGTTTGTCTAGGCAGTTTGAAATGAAATAAAAGCTTAAGACTCACCAGACAGAGAGCATCTTGCCAGAGTGCAGCTCCCCTGTCAGAGAGAAGAGGAACTATCAGTATTGTAAAAAGACAGATCCACCCTAGAACAACTTTGGCTTTCCCACAAGACCCAGATGAGAGACAGGTCCCATCATTCCCATACTCCAGACTGCAGGCATGCTTCTACACCATAGCGCGCAAGAATGGGAGATGGCGAGAGAATCTACATCCTTCTCTTTGCTTTGTCTCCCTTCCAGGATTCCTTCCTGCAGAGTGATGTTAAACCCGATACACTTGGCTTTCAGTTGTGGCTCCAGCTGTTTTGACTTTCTCATGCACATTTTCCTCTTAAAGAAGGAACAGATTTCTAAAGACCAATTCACTAAAATTTGCTATGAATGAGAGGGTCAAAGGTAGCTACTGGATAGGATGAAAAAACATCCCATGATGTTTGCTCCTGCAGTCATGAATGCAGAATCTGGTTTTTGTTTGTTTGTTTGCTTGCTTTAAGGCTATGGAGCCTTTGAACTCCAGAAGGCCAGGATTGCCATCAAAGGCAAAATTTATACTGCTTTCAGTGAGCCAGGAATTCCACCTTCTGGCAATGTTTCATTTCATACACATGCCATCGTTGACTGCACTCCTAGCTCAGCATAACATTCCTCAAAAGACATTTCAAGATATTCCAGTTACTTTCCCTACTGTTATCATGCATTTCTCTGGCATCGAACTAGCAGATCTGGAGAATCTAAGAACTCTTTAAAAGCTACAGGAAAACATCACAGTAACCATGACAAAAATGCAGTTGATGGTTTGGAACAACAGCTTGGAACAGCAGCTACTCAACAGGTCAAAGCACCCTTATTCAGCAGTTAAGGTGAGAGGTAAAAAAATCACATCTTCAGTGTCTGGAGGGAAGTTTGCATGTAAGCCCTGATTTCAGCTTAATCAGAGCAAGCAGGATGGGATATAACTGACTTTGAGTATCAAAATAATTTGTGGAGGTGTGTGTGATAAGGCAACACACAGATCAAGAATCAAAGAGATACTTCAGCTGGTCACACTGTCTACAGGACTAAGTGCTGTAGACAGTGCATGTAGAATGCAAAAATACATTTAATGAACACTTCATACCATCAAAATCACTGGCAGGCCTGGAACTGGCCTTCACAGTTTAATTATCCAAACTTACTGATGGATTTGGCTTCTGGAATTTTAACGCACAGTCAACTCGATGACAGATGGGCAGTTCAACAAGGTTCTGATCAGCTGTGCTGCGGGCGCAGGCAACTCGGCTGACCTGCTGCTACAGGAGCCTTGGTCTGGCAGAACTGAGGAGCTCCAGCACAGCAGGGACCAACAGTCCTGGAGACACAGTCCTGAAAACCTGGCTGGGCCCACTGCATCCCCTGCCCCAGGTCTGGCTGGGGAAGGGAAAACAGGGAACACTGCGCAGACTCTGCACAGTCATCATGAACACTTAATCTTGGTGAAGCACTGGCCCCCTTCTAGCTCTGATCTGGTTTGTGTAGAGCCATCCCTGAGCTGTGATCAGTAAAACAAACTTCAACTTAACTCTGCTTGGCTAAGTGTCTAAAGCACCACAATCTTCAGCACATATGTCAGTACCTGTATTGATCAAATTCTTTACAGTATCCACAGTGCCCCAGACAATATGAAGTCAATCACAGATAAAATATCAAGTAACCTGAGCTCCTGTATGCCCATGGATGTCTTCCTGGGTGTTATATAAAAAAGCGGTTAAAGGTATTCCTAGCATCCCAGACAATAACTTACTAATAACCAGGATCAGCCTCAGACTGAAGCACAAACAGGCAATTTTATTTGCTCAGGACCAGTTCAGTGTAAGTTTAAAAAAGTTTAGAAGGCCTGTCCCTAAATAAATTATTGTGAGAAAACACATCTGTAGCTCTGTTCCATGAGAGATGCCAAGTCTGTGTTCCACAAGTCCTGCAAAACTAAGGAAAAAAATTGGTATCACTCTATGCTTCTGTCTTTTAGGTTAAGAAATGAGGGCAAGAGCTCTAATGTGTGGGGGAAGCCACTAGTAAAAAACACTGTGTTCTGTTCTGCAGAACTGCTGTGTGTCCATCTCTTAACTATGGTACCTTGAAGATGCACAGTGCAGCTCTGGGAGATGGCTGACAGCACTGTTTCCTGTTCCCTGTTTCTCTGAAGGGATAGCTGTGATTGCACCTGTTTATGATTACCACCTGGCTAAATGTGCCCTCTGCCTGATCTTGGCACTTCTTCAGTGAAAATGGACACATTTAGATTTTCTAGCTAGCATTTGCACTTTGGGTCGCTTTAAACAGTCAGCCTTCACTTGGAGAAGTCCTGGTCTAATTAGCTAGTGACTCATGTACCAAGTGATTAACTTTTCCCCCATGTTTCACGTGACTTCTCAGAATTGTTTTTACAACTGATGTCAAAGTGACCCAGGCACACAGAGCCCCAGGCCATACCTTTCAAGGAGACGTGTAGTGAACTACCGGAAAGTGACATGGGAATGAATTATGTAATGCATCAGCTAAAGCAACAGCCTGTATACCTACAGATTTGTTCTCCAACAGTGGGAACAGGGACCACTTCAGCTAAGGACACTAACAGAACAGGAGTTAATTTCTACCAGAAGCCCAGTGCTGAGCAGCTCTGGTTGACAGACAAAGGAGCAATCGGTTCTTCTGCCCAAGCTTCTTCAAAGCAAAGCAGCTCCTGTTTTTAGCAACAACGATGAGCACAAACCACTGCTGCACACACAAACCAACTGCACATCTTCCATGGATTTTAACGCAATTATACATAGCCTGGCAGCGCAGATGCTAAGATGGGATGGAGATAACAATGCTGAGTGGTAAAGGATACTGTTACTAAGACAAGAGGCTGAGAACTCCTCCAGCATGTGGAGAGGATCGAGCAGGGAGGAAAAAGTTCCTTTACGAACTCTTCTTCAGATAAAAAGAATGACTTGATTCTCCAAGCATTGAGTGCAGCTCCTGATCAAGCCATCCTTTTTCAGGCTAGCTCTCAGGACCCCATCCATTCTTTCTAATTACACAGAACCACTGAGCGATAACAAAGGTTAAATATTGTTAAAATGCCGATCAAATAAGCTTGTTTTAAACTGCACAATAACCAATTTGTATCTATATATATATAACAAAATATAACTATATAATTATAAAGGCTTTATAGTGCAGTTTCATGTGTCTATATACACACATTTATAAAGACATATCTGCCTGTGGAGCCCAGAGACAAGCATTTAACATAGAACAGTTCTATGAATAGCATTACATACTTAAATGGTCAACATTACAATTAGCTGTCAACACTTGCTCACCTACATTTACACAATGGGCAAAATGAAATCTCATGTTGTAAGGCTTCAGCTGGTCAGCTGGAGGACAAGTAACATTCTTCCTCCTGTAGGTAGGTGGATGTACGTATGCATATGCATGCGTTTACACACGTATCTACATAGAGCTATGTATGTTTAGTATTTAGATGGAAGATGTGACCAACAGTCAGGAAACGGTAGGAGCGCCGGTGCTGATGTGAGTAGCAGACTCTGGCCGTTAGACTCTGCAAGCCCAAGCTTCCACCAGCACAGGTTACTGCCACTGCATCGGTTCAACGCCTGCTTCGAAAACCGAGCACAGAATTAAATCAGCAAGCAGCGACAGGCGGCGACGGCGGAGCCCGAGAGCAGCGGTTCTGGGCAGCTCCGTCGCCAGTCAGCTCTGCCGGGTAAGCAGGCGAGCCGACGCCCTCCGCGGCGGGGCCCTGCCCGGGCGGGGCGGCAGGGGTAGCGGCACACGCTCCGGCGCGCCGAGCGCGGGAGGGGCACTGCTGCTCACCCCGGCCCCTCGCGGGGGTCAGCCCCGCCGCCCGGCCCAGGCCACCCCTCTCTGTATGTGCGTGTCCCCGGCGCGGCGGTGCTCCGCGGGCGGAGGGGGGGGGGGGGGGAGTGGGGGACGCGTCCCGGTGTCCTTGGCGCCGCCGTCCCCGCCCGCCCAACCACCGCCCTCTCTCGTTCCCCCCTCCCCGCGGCCGATGCGGGTCCCCGCGGCGGGCAGTACCTGCCGGAGGGCGCGCAGCGAGCGGCCCACCACCCGGCCGAGGCAGCGGGACCGCCACAGCAGCAGCATCACGGCAGCGGGAGCGGCCGGAGGGCGGACACCGGAAGCAGGCCCGGCGCGAGCCGGAAGTGCGCAGGGCCGGACCAAGCTCTCCGGGACGGGGGGAGAGGAGCCAGAGGGACGGCACCATCGCGGGCGGGGTGTGTGTGTGTGTGGGGGGGGGACAGGGACAGGCTGTGGTACCTCAGGAACCGCCTCTGGAAGCATACCTAAGGTGCCCCCACGACCCCGTGCGGGGCTGGTGGCAGACAGACGGTTCAGCTGTATTCTACCAGGCGGTGCCGTTATAACACTCTTCACTGAACAGTTTGGGATTGCTTCAGGACAGCAGTACCAGTGGTTTTCCTGCTCACCTTGACAGCGATGGGGCTCGTGTAGGTTGATTTGCTGCAAGCATCAGCCAGCGGGGTGTTGCGTGCTTGGAAATGGGCAAGGAGGTCACCTCACCATGGCAAACAGGCAAATGAGTTCCCAGGCAAGCCCTGTTGCTCAGACGTGGTTTTTACGTTGAAAATGCTTGTGAATCCTCCAGTTAGTTTCCATTTTCTGCCTGTTGATGTGTGGGGGACCACAGGCGGAAGAAAACGCAAGGAACCCATTTGCACAATCTTAGAATTAGCTTGGGGTATTCATAAAAGGCTGGCTGGCAGCAAAAGTGGATGAAGGAGCCAAGTCCAGGTTATGCACGTGTCCTTAATTTAGCCATTGCTTAATAATACATGAATGGTAAACTGCAGCCTTCAAAATAGCCTCCTAATACAAATTCACAACAAACATCCTTGGGATCGATTTCAAAGAAAAGAAAAGAAGTTGAATAAAGCCCAACAGGGGATAAACTGAGGCTTTGAGAATGTGCTGACTGCTTTAATGAAAGGCAACAGTGCTGGAAAGGCCCTTTGCCAGGGACTTCTCCGTGATCTGCCTTTCAAAAGCTAATATCCTTGAATGAGACCGTTGGTGTCAACTGTCTTTAACCACAGCCTTTTGCCTGCCAACTGAATATGGCAAATATTGTCATGTTCAGTAAGCATGTGGAGGCCAAGCAGATGAAGCCCTAGGAGTAGCACACATGGCTAGGCCTTGCCCACCTGCCCCATAGCTCCATGGCAGTGTCTCTAAAGCACCCTGCAATAAGCAAGAGACTCAGTGTTGCTGCTTTTCCTGTGTGATTCCATTTCCCGGCCATGTCCTGCACCACAGACCTCCAGGCCAGCCAAAATGCCTCCATGTCCCCACGGCGGGGAATGCTGGAAGTGCTTGGGTGCTTTCTGTGGGAGCTGGGCAGCACCTGGAGCTTTGGGCTGACTCCTTCCTTGCCTCTAGCACAGGTGTATTTGCATTATCTCACCACTGATTCACTATCCTGGGTCCTGGATGGGATTCCCAGGCCAAATTGTAGGGGGGAATTGTCTGCCTGGCCCTCTGCCCACCTGTGCAGCCAGGGTCTGGGCACTGGCCCCTGCCTGTCTGAGCCCAGAGGCTATGAGCCTGGGAGATGGCCAAGAGGTGGTGTAGGCATATAGTTAAGAAAAATGGGAACTTAGGTAGGCACATAATTAAAAATGGAAACTTCTGTTGCTATGGAAAAGCCTGGACAAATACTAAGCGCCTCCTAAAAGGTCAGGATGACCTGGGAACAGCACTGACTAATGAAGAGAATTAATAGCTGGGGAGGCGGCCTTGCGTGCTAAGGAATCCCTTATGAGAAAAGACCATCCTTGAGGACTGGCACATCCTGAAAATCCATCGACATTGTCAAGATATGACTTCAGTGTGTCAGCAAGATACGATTAGGGTGTCCTTCAGGGGCTAAGGAACCTCTTACTGGAAAAGGCTATCCTTGAAGACTGGTGCATCCTGAAAACCCATTGACATCTGCAAAATATAACTCCGATGTGTCAGCAAGACACGATGAGTCTGTCCTTTAGATGAACTATCCTCATTATAATATTAAAAATCACTACCAGAGGTCAAAAGACCCCTGCCCAGGTTAAAGACCCTTCCCTGGGCATGCGTGGTGAGAAGTCAATGATGTAACCTCATGTAAATTAAGTGACCAATTGGTACGTGGTGGGAGGGTTACAAGGAGTCACCAACCTGAACTGAACTATATAAACACATGAATTCTGCATGGGGTGGTGTGCTAGCTCTGTGGGATGCCACCCAGCACCCCATTTTGCACAAACTTGGAATGAACAAATACATTAGCTCTGTCTGTGGGAACTGGCTATTGCACACCAGGCTACAGACCCTGTTTTGGGGACAACACAGCCACCCAACAGCTCCTGCATGAAGCATCTCACAAGCATGTGTGCCCCTGGGGCAGGTAGGTTTGTCCTGGGCTGGGGTCAGGGCATGCTCATCTGAGAGCAGTGCTGGCTCTGCTGGCTGCTGCAGTGTCTCTAAAGCACCCTGCGATAGGAGAGGGACTCAGTGTTGCTGCTTTTCCTGTGTGGTTCCATTTCCTGGCCATGTCCTGCACCACAGACTTCCAGGCCAGCCAAAACGCCTCTATGTCCCCATGGCAGGGAATGCTGGAAGTGCTTGGGTGCTTTCTGTGGGAGCTGAGCAGCACCTGGAGCTTTGGGCTGACTGCTTCCTTGCCTCTTCCTTACACAGCACAGGTGTATTTGCATCATCTCACCACTGATTCACTATCCTGGGTCCTGGATGGGATTTCCAGGCAAAATCGTAGGAGGGAATTGCTCACCTGGGCCTCTGCCTACCTGTGCAGCCAGCAGCTCGGCATCGGCCCCTGCCTGTCTGAGCCCCGGGGTCTATGAGCCTGGGAGATGGCCAAATAGCAGGGGAGATGGTTGGGTGCAGACACTGGACCCGACCTCCTTGAGGTCCATCTGCATATTCAGAAGCCGTTCCCAGCCGGTTGGCTGCCTCTGGCCTCCTCACTCCCTCTTTAAAGGAGCTGAGCACAGTGGGAGGACACACAGGCACTGCCTCTGTGCATCCCACAGCTCCGGATGCCTGTCCTTGGGGCACCGTGCTCCTTGCAGCCCTGGAGCTGAGGTGAGTGGGGCAGAGAAGTGCAAGTGGCTCAGGATGGGGATCATGTGTTGAAGACGGAGGGATGCAGTGGCTGGGGAGGGCTCAGGGGGGGATTGCAGTGCTGGGGAAGTGGCAGGCTGCTCCATGCACGGCTCTCCTACCAATGAGCATCTGAGGAACATGTGGGGGATGACTCCCGTTTTTGGAGGGGACATGCTTGCCTTTTCTTCTGAGCATCTTCATTTTGTCCCTCAGTCTTTTTCATCAGGTAAGAGGAGTCTCAGCTGATTTTTGGTGTTTTGGAAGGTGATACTGATGCAGGCTGGCAGTAAGTAGGAACCAAAGCATGCATCTGCTAACTCAGCAGGGAAGGGGCTGCATCAGCGGGAAGTTTGCTTGGGGCAGCACCTCCTGGTTCTCCAGTGCTGGGGAAGCTGTAGGTGGGAAGAGAGCCAAGGCCATGGCCTGACACCATAGGCTCTGCTCCCTCCCTCCAAATGTCTGGCAAAAACATGTTGGTGCTGGAAGCCTTATACAAGCGGAGGGCTTCTCACCAGCTCTGAGCAGATCTTAGGAGGGATGTATGGCCCTAAGTTTCTGGGGCTGGGAAGTCTCAGCGCAGGGGACAGGTAAGATCCCTGACCTTGCTGCTGAGCACAGAGGAGGTGAGAAATTGTGAGCAAGTGCCAAAAGAAGGTGTTTCTGTAACAGATGGAGTGAGGTGGCAGGACCGGCTGCCTCCTGCCAATGCCATGCGGAAAGGCTTAAGGGTGGATGAAATCTCTGACTGCATTGCGTTTGCTGTGTGTCTTTGTTGGAAGCGGCTGGCAGGCAGAGGCAGCCACAGGCGATGGTGCAGCTTGTTACACAAGAGCAGGGGTGATGCTGAGAGCTCCTGGCACACCAACCTAACCCTGGCCAGGGGGAAAATTTTGGTGGCCTGTTAGGAAAATAAAACCCTAATGGTTGGGAGCGGGGAGACAGCATGGGAGAGCAACAAGTGGTGTAAGACAACCCAGAAAACACTTGGTTTGTCAAGACTAGAGCTCTGCAAAAGGTGAAGCTCTCCCAGATGCCTGCCTGAAACAGTAGGCTGTTCAAAGAACGGTGACCTGCTAAAAAACAGTGAGAACTCATTTCCTACACTGCTCATTTCCCTCAGGGACCTGCCATGGAGCAGAAAATCACGGGGACAGGAGACTGATGGTGTTGAAAATGTTCAGATTTTTCTGGGTATAGCAAAAGAATCTCAGACACTTTAAAGGTGTCTGGGAAAGACACAAACTGTCCTACTTCAGGGATGCAAAGCTCCTGCTAATTAATGTGAATGAGTAAGAAGCATCCCACAGGGATGGTTATTCTGTAATTGCTCAGGATATGAGCTTTTGTGCCTTCTTGTGCAAAGCTGTTTGAGTGATCCAACGAGCGGAGGGGGTGGATCCCTGCCTGGGGTCAGCATGACAATTTTAAGCTCAGGGATGCTGGCTCAGTAGTTTTTGTCTTCTTTGGTAATCCCCATCCCTTTTATTCAGGTTTATTGTTATTTATTTGTATTTGTTTTGCCCAGTGCCTAGGAGCCCTGTGCTGTATTAGCCTGAACATCCCGGTGTGTCTTGCTTGCAGCAGATCACATCCCATTTTTATCCTCGCTGTGCCCCTTCCCACTAGCCTGTTTGTGCTGCCCTGGACCCATAGCCCATCACTGTGCCCTTGGGGCCCTGGTGGCAGGTGCTTGGTGCCAGCAGAAGCAGGCAGCAGCCATGCCTTGGCCCAGCTGCTGTGTGCCACGAATGCCTCGCCAGGGCTGTTACTGCTGCCCAGCACAAGGAGCACCCAAAGCCACCTTTGTCCAGGTGTGCGTGGCAGAGGGCTCCGTTGGGTGCTCACCACCCTTGTACCTGAGTCCACAGCCCAAAGGGGAGCTCCCACAGGTGCCTGCAGTGCAAATGCAGCTGGCAGCATGGGCAGTCTGCACTGCTGGGTACATCCAGGGCACAAACCATGTGAAGCGTACTCCAGGCACCAGGATTGCCTGGCTGGTAGGTGGGAGCTGTGACAGTGTCCAAGCTGTTGCTGCTGTCATGTGTCACCCAACAGCCTGCTCGTGGGTTTTGCAGTGCCCTGGTGAAATAGGCTTTGCAGGGGATCAGGGATGCCCTGGAAATCTGGGAGGAAAAAACTCTGGCCATGTGTCTAAACAGCTGTGGTGTAAGGTCCTGCCCACTGATGTTTCTTGCTCTTTCTCCAGCTCCATGGTGCTAGCAGGCTGAAACATCAGACACCTGGGGAAACTGCCTGTCTGTCACTGGAAATGATCCTCAACTAGCCGAGGATCAGCTCTGGTGAACTGGCAGGAAGAAGAGACAATGGATGGCAGGACTGGCCCTGAGCAGGAGAGAGACTGTGCTACTTCAGGGCACAGCCAGCAGCTGAAGTTGGAGCCCTGCTTCCAGAGTGACTCTCTCTTGCCTTCCCTCAGCACACCCCTGATATCGCAGCTTCTCAGCCACCCGATACTTGGCAGGAGCCTGGATCCCACCGTCCTTTTCCCCTCCTCTCAGGCAGTGACCCTGCCTCAGGAATACGAGTGTGGCGCATCTCCTGGAGAAGGAGCACAAACCCTGGCTTTCCCCAGGACCTGTGCGCCAGCTCCCATGCCCTGTGCCAGCGACAGGGACCAGCTCTCTGACCAGCACCTATGGGACCAGATCTCTGACCAGCACCTACAAGCCAAGCGGGCCAGGGTGGAGAGCATCATCCAAGGCATGAGCCTCCCACCAACCCCTCAGGCATTTGGCACTAGCCTCGAGGCAGCTTTTCAGCAGGAGAGGGAGAGTGGTAGTGAGCTGCCCTGGGAGAGCAAGAGGAAGCCAAGGGTGTCCCAGCAGGGTGCAGGGGCAGCCAAGCGAGTGGCCTCCTCGGGGGGCAGCGCCCATGCTGAGGGCTGCCAGCAGCTGAAGGAGCAGCTCTGCTTCTTGGAGCAGCAGCTGAGAAGGCTTCAGGAGAAGTTCTCCCAGGTCTGTGACTCTGCGGACACTGCCCAAACCCAGGAAGGTTCCAAGAAAGCGCATCCATTGCCTGGAAATCCTGGAGACAGACTGGACAAGGACAGTGCCACCGCCACCAGTGACCCATGCAAAGCGCCTCTTTGGAGGAGCATCCTGGAGGCGCAGGGGCCAGAGAAGGATGAGGACAGAGATGACACAGGTGGCCTGCCCTCTGCAGCAAGGGCTCTATCACAGGCACTGAAGAATGAACTGGCTGAGACAATGTCCCGGGTAGTGGACTCTGTTCTGCAGACTGCCTGGCCAAAGGCAGCCAGCCACTTACTGCAGCAGCACCGCAGACTCCCAGTGCCAGGGTCAGATGCCAGGAGAGAGCATTTTGCTCCTGCGAGATGCAGGAAGCCACTTGCTAAACCATCTCTCAGAAACATACCAGGCGCGCTGGGCTCACCCGAGGCTGAGGCCCCATCAGGAGCTCCAGCGAAGAGCCTGGGCTCACACACTGGCTCCTTCAGTTCAAAAGGGGTGAGAAAAAACCCTCGGGCTCCCAGCATGAGCTATCCACTGGGCTTGGCTGCCCCCATCCAGGACAGCCAGCTGCTGAGCCAGCTGCTGGGCTATGGCCAGCATGGCCTCTGGAGAAGCGGCTCTCATGGGAGCCCCTCTTCTCTGGAAAGGGGTCCTCTGGAGCCCCTCAACCTGCACTGGGGAACTGTCAAACTGAGGTCATCGGTCATGAGACGGCAGCAGCCCCTGAGCCCTGCTGGCATGGAGGGCCTGGCACTGCTGCCGGCTGGCAGGGATGGCCGTAGAGAGCTGCAGGCTGCGGTGGACAGGGCACCCTTCATCTCCACACATATATCCTTTGGGGGCAGCTGGAGAGGTCCCTGGGCTTGGGCATGCTCCCCTTGTCCTCCACACCCAGAGCTCAGCACAACCGCGGCTGGACTTCCTAGGGCCAGTGTCCCTGCTGCTCCATATTGGGGGCTAAAACAGGGTGGGCAGGAAAGGGGTCCTGAGCCATGAAGGGGCATCGCAGCTCCTTAGGGCTGGTTGGATGCTGTAGCATAGCTGAGTCAGGCGCTCCCAAACCTGCTCTTGGGCCATCCTGGTGGTCTCGTAATTTTATGCCAAGAGTCTCATGGAAAGATCTTCTCCCACCAGCCTGGGAAGAGCTGCTGGGAGTGGCAGCTTCCCCGGGGAGGCCGAAGGGAAAAAACAGTGGCTGCCCATCCAGGGATGAACCCCTTTCATCCTGCTGCCAGGCCTTGGGGAGGGATTATCATGGACACAAGGCACGTGTGTCCTCAGGGACATGCTGAGCTGGTCGGGCTGCTGCATGCAGGCTTTCCTTGACCCCAAGGCAGATGCAGGAGGCGCTGACCCCTGGCCACCTGAAGAAGGCCAAGCTGATGTTTTTCTTCACCCGCTACCCCAGCTCCAGTCTGCTGAAGACCTACTTCCTCGATGTGCAGGTAAAATGGATATGGAACTCAGTGGGGAGTGGCACTGTGGAGACCCCCATGTCACCCTCCCCTGGGGCAGGGCTGGGTTTGGGGCCAGGCCACTGGTATGTGACTGGACTTATGGGGGCTTATGGGTCAGGAGGCTCCAAGCTGGATTAATACCTGTCCTCTGGCTCTTCCCCTGGCAGTTCAGCCGCTGCATCACCTCCCAGCTCATCAAGTGGTTCAGCAACTTCCGTGAGTTTTACTACATCCAGGTGGAGAAGTCCGCCCGGCAGGCGCTGCTGGAGGGTGTTGTGGATGCTGGCACCCTCCAGGTCTCCCGGGACTCGGAGCTTTTCCGCACCCTCAACATGCACTATAACAAGGGGAATGACTTTGAGGTGAGGATGGGAGCCGGGGTAAGGCGTGGCAGGGCGGTGGGGCTTGCTGGCCAAGAGGGACCCGGTGGTGCTGTGGGTGATGCCCGTCTCACTGCAGGTGCCAGGGCGGTTCCTGGAGGTGGCCAGCCTGACGCTGCAGGAGTTCTTCAGTGCCGTCAAGGCGGGCAAGGATGCCGACCCCTCCTGGAAGAAACCCATTTACAAAATCATTTCCAAACTGGACAGCAACATCCCGGAAGGGTTCAAGGCTGTCAGATGCTCCCAGGAACTGCTCTGCAGCTGAGTCTCTGTGACACACAGCAGCCCTGGGTCCTGTGTGCAGCCATCATGTGCTAAGTACTTCATGGGTGCTCTGTTATTCTGAGTGTTTTCTCTCTGGCCTGGCAGACAGCTCCCTGGGTGAGCAGTGTCGCTTGCCTCGGGTGTTGGGATTTTATGCTGTGTGTTTTATTCCTGTGCTCAAAACTGGTAAGGTCTTGCCAGAGACCTCGGAGGGGAGGGACAGAGGTGAAGCGATGGAGTTAGAGCCTGGGAAATTACTTTCCTGTAGCTCTGCCCCTGCCCCTAGGCCAGCTGCCTTCCTTCTCTTGTCCAGAGGGCCACAGGTCAGGGCAAACAGCCTGTTTATGAAGCAGGCAGGTTTTATACTGGGCAAAGTTTTCTTGGCACAGCAGGCCAGTGGATGTGCTCAGTCCAACAGCATGCCTCAGTTTCTGTCCAGATACAGCACACCGGTGTCCAAAGAAAACAGCTGGTGAATTCTAGCATTTCAAGCACTTCGTGGGGATAGCTGACCCTGTCTGGGAGATGTAAAAACAGTGATGTTTGTTTTTGTAGCCAGCATGAACAACACTCCCCCTGCCTCCCTTGTGCTGTTTGGCAAGAGCCCCCCATGCAGCTGCATTCTGCAACCAAGCAGGTGAGCGTGTGCTGGTGGAAGCAGCCCAGGAGGGACCACTCACCATCAGTACTATCTGTGATGCTGGAGAAGAGCAGGGTGCACAACCAGCCCCCATCAGCCCATCACCTGAGAGGAGAGCATCATGTTAAACTCCACCTGCCTCCTCTTACACCATGCTTCTGCTGGCAAAATTGCCCCAAACATCTCGGCCCTGCAACCTGCCCTTGGTGAAAGAGGAGCACATCATTTGGGACCTCTCAGTCCCTGTGGGTTTTAACATAAGTTGGTGAGGAGCTGAGCCCTGAGGTCTGCAGCCCCACTGTGGTAGGGGTATAAACCTAAGGAGATTTCTTTTCCCTGTGACCAGGACTTGGTGACCCGTTTTCACCCGGATGGAGCATAACAGAACACTGTGTGTTGAGGGTTCTCTTGTCATGGGAGAAGTGGTGGTGAGGGGGAAAGTCTGTGAAGAGGAGGGAGGTACCGGGAGAGGCATGGTAGGAGGGCTCTGGGAGGGCAGTGATGCCTGTGTTCATTTCTTGAGGTTTGTATATTTTACAACCCTAAAACCAAATTTACTGGATCCATTTTAAAATAAAGAATTACTCCTTTGTATCTATACGGACCTCTGAAAACTTCTGCTCTGAAGCATTATGCTGGGAATTTCTTACCTTTCATTGTGAAAAGAATCACACTGCAGCTAAAGGGCTTACACCTTCTGCCACATCCCTGTGGAGCTGAGCAGCTCCCTCTAACCGATGGTCTGGTTTAAACCTAATGCCAGTGCCTCAGGGTCAGTCTGCTCCTTGTTGGGGGGATCAGGAAGGAGGGGTTGGAGGCTCATGAAGACACATCCCAAAGCCTACAGGTGAAAGACTCAAAGGTACAGCGTCTGAGCAGTGCTGCTGGTGGCATCATGAAGGACAGGATGGAGCTGTTCCTGAAGGCAAGAACTACCTCAGAGCTTAAGTAATGCATTGGGTAGGCAAAACTGATGCTGCTGGAAAAGGAAATGGTGGCCTGGCACAGAGAAGGGGTTAGTAAATTCTTTTGGTCATAGGTAAACAATTAGAGGACACAGATACAGGTTTAGTGAAGACATCCTGCTGGAACAAAACCCGGGAGGCAGTTTCTTGCTTCTTATATGTTTCTGCTAACATACAGGTTCGTGGGTGTCAGTAAAGTGGCAGGTGAGGGGCTGAGGGCAAAGCAATGTCCCACATCAGAGTGACGGGGTGACTGAGGTTGGAAGGGACCTTTGGAGGTCAGCTAGTCCAACGCCCTGCTCAAGCAGGGCCATCAAGAGCCGCTCGCCCAGGACCACGTCCAGATGGCTTCTGAGTATCTCCAAAGAGAGCGACTCCACAACCTGATCAATAGTGATGTTGAACTGGACTGTACCCGGTATTTGGAGCAATATTTTCACTCTAGTGTTTGCCACAAAACTACAAGGAAACAGGAACTGCAGAGCTCTGTTTTACGCTGGCTTTTTTTGTCATGACTGGCACTGTCAGGCCAGGCTGGATGAGGCCTTGAGCAACCTGGTCCAGTGGAGGGTGTCCCTGCCCATAGGATATATCCCTGCTGGATGTGACCCCCATCATAGCAGGGTGAGCTGAATCACAGCCCGACACTCCCACGAGGGCCTTGGAAAGCAGCAGCCTGGAAGAGAAGGAAGGGGGCGTTCAAATGGCCTTCCGTCCATCTAGGTCATAGGAGCACTGGTACAGAGAAGGCTGGGATGGGGGGAATGCTGGAGTTACTCTAGAGCCTGAAGCGTAATGGAAATAGGGTGTGAGTTCTTAAGAAATGAGGGTTTCGCTCATTGTGCTGTGCAGGGTATGGTTGTAATTTCATTTACATTCCAGCAGTGCCCAAGATGCAGCAGCTGGTTTTCAAACAAAGACTAATGGGTGCCTGTCACAGGGAGATTTCCACTGACAAAGTGTGTCTGCCGGCGGGGGGCTGGGGGAGAAGGGAGAGCCACTGCCCACGCAGTGACCCTCTGGCCTGGGTGGGCTCTTGCTTTACCATTTCCCACTAACGACCCGAGGAAACAATGGGGGTAGGCACTCACCTACTGCTGACTCAGCTTCCTCTTTAAAAGCATACATCCTTTCCTTCCCTCTATTCGCGTTTCTGTAATGCATGCAAAAATCCCACCCGTAACTGTCTCCTCCGGGAACGATTCCTCGGGGCTATCCTTTCACATTTCCAACCGCATTCATACCCCATCCACAGAAATGCAACCAGTGCACGCTTTGCTGCTGAACCGCAACAAAGCACTGAACAGCGCTGCCTGCAGGCTGCTGCTGTCCTGAACGGGGAGATGCAACCACACCAACTAAGCTGGCGAGGCTCCGAGAGCCCTTACGAGCTCACCTGTATTATTACTTCCCAAAAGAGCCCTTATGACTCGTGTACAGCTAATTAGACCTTGAAGTTACTAGTGAGTGTTCATCCCCTTTGCCAAAATAGCTCGGGGAGAAACTCTGACAAGCAATAAAACATAGAATCATAGAATAGTTAGGGTTGGAAAGGACCTTAAGATCATCTAGTTCCAACCCCCCTGCCGTGGGCAGGGACACTTTACGCTCTGGTTTCTCTTCCCTCCTGCTGGACTCGGATCTGTTTGCAGTGACTGAACCAGCCCTAGAAGATCCCAGCTCAAGGTGTTTTTAAAAGTCATCTTCCCTCAAATACACACCCATCTTGGACGTGTATTTGGCATCAGGGCAGCTCTCTCCAGCTAAGCACCCTCTGGTGAGCCCGTGTTCAAGTAACATTTGCTGACCCATTATATGCACTGGAAGGACTGATTACGCAGGTTACAGCAGACAACTACTACAGCTCCTGTGGCACAGATCCAGCACTGCTTTTCAGCCAGCCTGGAAGATGCCCTTCCTCTGACCACGCAGATCTGCAGACACAGCGCCACTCCAGGGGAAGCTGAAGCGAGGCACAGGGAGACTGCAGGTTAGCCTCAAGGATAAAGCTCCGTGCGGGCCCCCAGGACAGACTGGTAGGTCTAGCTCAGAGCAAAAGCTTTTTCTTCTTGCATACCACGAAATTTCATATAAGCATGATGGATGGCGCAGGGGATGGAAACTGGGGAGCGGGGCTCTGCCAGCTTCAAAGCTGCAGCTGGTTGAGCTGCTCTTCCCTTGACTTCAGCAATAAAAAGCTGTTTTGATGAGACAGTGGCAAAGAGCCCCACAGACAGGGCTGCACTCTCCCCTTCTGAGGTGCCCCAGCTGACCAGCCTGCTCGCGGCAGCTCAGGTGCAACCACTAAAGGTTGGATGCAGAGACGAGCAGGGTGGAGAATCATGGAATCAACTAGGTTGGGAAAGATATTTAAGATCAAGCCCGGCAATTACCCTAGGACTGCCAAAGCCACCACTAAACCATGTCACTGAGGGCCTTGTCTGCATGGATTCTGAACACTCTCAGGGACAGTGGTTCCACCACTTCCCCAGGCAGCCTGTTCCAATGCATGATCACCCTCTCAGTGAAGAAATTTTTCCCAACATCCAGTCTAAACCTCCCATGGCGCAGCTTGAGGCTGTTACCTATTGTCCTATCGCTTGTTATTTGGGAGATCAGCCACCTCCTGGCTCCATCCTGTTTCAGGTACTTGCAGAGAGCAATAAGGTCCCCCCCTGAGCCTCCTCTTCTCCAGACTGAACAACCCCAGTTCCCTCAGCCTCAGAAGACTTGTGCTCCAGGCCCTTCATCAGCTTTGTTGCTGACAGAAGGGAGATGTCTCACTGGGAGCTATGACCACACAGGGTAAGCACAAGTGGGCACCATGACAGGGAGACCATCGTGTAGCCCAGGGGCTTTTGAGGGAGATAGTTACTCTAAGCAAGGGTGCACAAAGGAGGCAGATGATAGTCAGCCTCTGCTGGAAAGTGAGTGCAGACTCGCCTCCACCACCCAAACCCATCAGCTTGGGTGGGGACAATGATGTTCATCTTGGAGGGGAGGCAGCTTTGGTGGGAGATGGGAGAGGCAGGCTGCCAGAGAACAAGCACATGTGTCTGTGCACAGGCAAATATCAAACAAGTAAATCTGTTTTTGAAAGGGGTCTGATCTGGAACATTTGAGAATGGCTGTTCAAGTAATGCCAGTGAGAGCTGCGCTGTCAACCTCAAGGGCAGGCAGATTTAGGTCAACCCTTAACACATGTGAGGATATGGTCCATATTTATACAATTCCTTCTCAGCTAACTGCCCAGGCTGCTGAGCAGCAGGTGAAGGCCCATGTCATTAAGTCCCTTGTCATGAACAACTCTTTTATTGGTAACATACAAACATTCCAAAGACCTAACATTTGAGATATTTTGTATTTCCTCCTTTTGAGATGACTTTCAGCATTGTTACAGTAAGCAATCACACCTGTCATCAGCCTCTGCACTACATAGATCATAAATAGCCTTTCCAAAACTAGTAATTATTTTTTTTTTTAGCATAAGCTTTTGGTTAAAAGCTCTTAGGGTAATTTGTATTTTGAGCATTAGGATCAAGCACCATTCTTGGTTTTGCTATTCCAATAAAATGGGCACTACAGACATTTTTTGTGGCTATTTCCCATTACCTACTAGGCAACTCTTAATGATACAGCATTAAGTCCAATTGGCATGAGGCACATGGCAGGTTCCCTGCTGGTGTTTATTGCTCAGGCTTTTATTGTTTTCTCCCCTGTTGTTCTACTGGATCAACAAGGGTTGCTCTTAAAAATGCCAGCTTGTACCCAGCAGAACCAATCTTTTTGTCTTATGGCAATCATGGAAAATATGCAGCTAAAAGCAAGTGGTGAAGTGAAAAGCTGGGCGTACAGAAAACACAAGATAGAGGAAAAAACCTGAAAGTTCAAGTAAAATATTTTACTGGATTTCCCAAAGCACATATGTGTCATCCGTAACTTTACACAAAAAACAGAAATCGTAAAAAAATACTTTGTATTATTTTAAAAACTCTAAGTGAAATACCTGACATGTATGTATATATACATATCGATACATCTCTACATAAAACCCATCCTCATTTGGTTCTCGGAGAGCACGCACAGAATGTCCATCAGCTTAAGGAATTATTTCCCATTTCTAATTTCCAGGCCGGAGACTAAGAAACAGTACAAATAAGGTTGACTTTTGAAAACACCATGAATCCATGCTCAAGGGAAAAGTTAGGCCAGTCCTACCTATCCCTGCATCTACTGAGTGTCCATGATTGGCTGCGCAACCTGTGTCAAATAAAAACAATTACAAAGGCTGTTTTCAAATAACACATCTTAGGAAGAGCAGCTAGCTACAAAAAGACAATGTTTAGAAACAGTATTTGTAAGAGCCACAGTGCTCTCCTCTCTGGAGCAATCATTACAAAGCAGAGTATCATCTACCTATGCTTAGAAATGCTCCGGGCTGCAGCTGTGAGCACTGTGCCAAGCAGCAGAAAGCTGTATCTTCCCAGCTCTGACAGCTGGCAAGCCAGAGACTTCTTAGTTTCTTTTGTGGAGGGCCATGCCCACAGCATGGCATTTCCAAGTGAGCACAGAACAGCGGGGGCTTCTTACTTAGCAGTGCACTCTTCAAGTGACTTCTGTGCAGAGCACAAGCCCCTGTGCAGCGCCCAGAGCCCCCGCTGCTGTTGGAGCTTAGGTACAGCTCTTCACTATGTTTCATTTCGTCATGCTGTGATGTCAAACAGACCATTTATTCTGCAGCCACTTCTCATCCCTGAGCTTCAAAGCATTCTCATCTTTGTTTCTGACCAGATTTTTAATG